CTGAGAATAAAGTTTGAACGGATTTCAGAACCTATCGCATTCTTATGCTCATATGTATCCGTTTTTTTTCTATTGATTGAACATACATGAAGAAGTTCCAAGAAGTAAATCAATAAAACATAACTCAAATTTCACCACTGTCAATACAAGCTTGAGAGCATTGCATCGACAATTCATTTCATGGAACTACATCAATAATAGAACGTAATAGTCAATCATATTGACTATGGACGATTCCTTTTCTATTATCTCGGAATTTGTAACGAATATCATAGATATTTCGATTAGTAAGATATAAGCAGGAATTATCTGGATTTGTTTGAATTAAGATAAAATTACAATATAATAAATCTATCCTAAATCCAATTGATTTTATGGAAAAATATTCTTGAAATGTTATACGTTATCTAAACTTCATTGTTTATTCTTTCGAAGGAGACAATCGCGAGTTCTCTAATATTTCTAAAAATTTCTCTTTACAAAAGAGATAAGATCTTCATCAATCGACATCAAGATAGTTCTATACTGCTGACACATTTTCATTTTAGAATATCTAAAAACTTTCAACGCATCCATTATTTAATCCTCAACGTCTGTAATGGTGTTTAACCAACATCTATTATATTGCCTTGATTACAGCATGTACGATCTGTGAAAAGTTCAAATATTTACTCCTATACTTCAACACTCGTGTTTAGATCATGTTCTATCAAAGATAAAAAGAATATTTTGTAATAAAATAAAAACAAACTATGCCACATAATTGGATTAAGTTTATAGAAAATTGGTGAATCATCTTTTCATTCTAAATATTTGGCAAGAAAAATTTTCACAACATTTAAATGACAATCATCTTCTTCTTCATAACATGGAATTCTACATGTTTTATCTTTCATCATTCGACAAGTGAAATTTTATATTGAAATTTTATTTAAAAAAAAAACCTAATTGTTTTTTCTTAAATATTTTTCTTATGAATAAATTGTTCAACAAGTCCTTGACCTATTCGTCCACCATTTAAATACCTGACTCTTCCCTAAATATTTAACAATATTGATAAATATTCTTTGTTTTTGTTTTTTTCCTTATCTAATTCACTTAGAGTAGCATCAATAAAATCAATATTGATTCAAGAAGATTTTTAAATATTCCAGTAATCGATTGATTATACTTAATAAATGTGATTGATAAAGATATGCTAAACTCCATATTGTATCATATACATAACCATGAAAATAATCTTTTTCTAATTTAGAAAATTGTTTTATATATTCCGTAATATATTCTGATTGATTCTAAAAAATAATTCAAAAACAAAAAAAAAAATTCTTTTGTTTTATTTTGTTTTTCTCAATAAGATTTTTTAAAAAATATTTCATTATCATCAATAGATAAAGGTGGTAGACGTGTTTGTAATGTACCATTAATTACACGAATTATTTCTTGGATTGAACAATCAGTTGGTTCATTCCACCAAGTTGATAATGATGGATAACCAAGAATAATCCATTGATAACGAGAACCATAAACTTGTTCACGAGCTGCCTATCCTTTGAAAATAAATAAGAACATTTTTTTTTTTTGTTGAATTTTATCATATATACCTGACAAAACATATCAGTAGCAATTGTTTGATTAAAATTTCCATTAATTATTCGTACATCTCAACCCTTCAAAAAAAAAGAACGACAAAAACAAATTTTTGTTGAAGAATTTAATGAAGAATATATTAGTTTAAAATCTTTTTAAAACGACATATAATTATAGAGCAATGTATATTTTATTCTAACAACATGACAATCATGCGTCAGTAACAGGCAAAACGTTGTTATTCTAAAGGAGTACTAGTTGACATAGTTTTCGAGTTGAATATTATTTCGAAAACTAATCATAATCTCTAGAGACTATCTTATGACAATAAAAAAAAAATAAAATAAAATAACATCACTATTGAGAGTTAAGCTGTTAGAAAGTGTATTATTTTTTTTCTGTATGTAGAAGCTGGAAAATCTATTAGGTTTACAGCGAAGATCGTTGAAAAAAAAGGAGAAAATTATGTAAAGGTCATGTTGAATACTTTCATAGATCATCCATTGATATATGAAGGTTTTTTTTGGTAAACATAAGTCATCTATTGGATTGGGTTTGGTAGAAGAACATTTTTAAAAAATCCAATATTTGTTTATTTAGATTATTTTTCAATAAATACGACAAAATATTTCTATTTAATGAACGTTATAAACCAAAAAAAAACTGTTTGATATAAAAGTTGAGATCAAAATAATATTATGTTAGGGTGAAACAGTAGAATATTCACGAAAAAAACGTATGTCTAAGAAAATAATTCAATAATTTATGTTTAAAGCTAATTCATCAAGTTTGTTGCTAATAGTAACGTAAGCAATGTCAATGTTGAGCCTAGATATAAGCGAGAGTGTTTGTTTTTGATCCTGATAGAATCGGGATTGAAACCATCGTGCTCGTATCTGGCTGAAACTCTTCACTGATTGAAGCCATGCAACTAAACAGAGAGCTCAGCCAAGTTCAACCTTCAAATCCCCACTATCAAAACCCTGGTTATACCTTCAGACACTAATATTATTTCTAAATTCTTATCATTATTATGAAGAGTTCTTGTGACTTCGTAGATGTTGCTTATGTACAGTAATTTAAAAACAAACGAGAAAAAAAAAGAGAAATGTTTGGTAAATGTTAATGCACTAAAAGTTTAAAATGATTTTACACATATGACTATGAGTTTTTGATCTTTCAATTCACGTGAACTTTTTGAAAATCCATGAATTATGATATGGAATTTAAGTTCAATAAAACAATTTGAATGAATGAACGAATGTTCTATCTATTTGTTTATATAATTGTAATATTTATTATAGTTTCGCTTCATTGATCGAATGTATTTATTTTAGATGGATAAAAATATACTTCGTTCACGTCAAAAAGTAGCAAGTAGAAGTGATGACAAAACTTCCGATCAAGAAAAAGAAAAGATGTTAATAAAAAAATCGAAAACAAACTGCTGAAAATAATGATTTTGGTGATATAGAAAAAGTTCCATCTAATATTGAAAATATTATGGAGAAAAATTTTGTTACGTATATTTATTTGGGAATTATATTTTGGTAAGACAACTTTTTAATGATGATGATTATTTTAAGAGAATAATTATTTGTTCTTGTGTAGGATATATTTTTTGGACAATTTTTTTTGGCATTGGTCCAATGGTTATGTTTTTTCCCATGGTGAAATTAGCTATTCATGGTTATGAAGTATTAATACTTAGTTTAGCAAGTCCAATTATACTTTGGCCTTCATTAGTGAATAATATTGCACAACGTTAGTTTTGTTTATTTTGTTGAATCTTTCGAAATGAAATTGTTCTTTGTTTTTTTTTCCTATAGAGTACTGTTGGAAAATTAATTATTAGTTTATTATCATTTCAATTAAAAGATCCTCTATTACGATTATAAATACTTTCATGTGGTACTTGTGCTGTTATGATTGATCTTTGTATAAGTCTTAATTGATGATATTATTCATATAGGTAAGTATTTTTAATTGAATTTTAAACATTAGAGAAAAATTTATTATTTTTTCATATTTAGATCAATTCTTGTTTGGACATTGACAAATTGTTTTTTTTTTCTTTCTTAGTCTTCGTATTTGTTTTTTAAGTTATATACCAGCGTGGTCGAGTGTGATGGCAACATTTAATAGATTTTCTCATTGGACATTGGAACAATCATTGATCAATTTGAAAGAGGTAGGAAAAAAATTTATTCGACAGTATCTAATTACATGAAATGGATAGAATGACAAATTTATTTGAAATAGTTGACTTAAAGCATTAGTATTATTATTAATCAACTTTCAGTTAAGATTTAATCTTCAACATGTAGAGATGTCTATGACAGTGCTGGCATCACAGTGGCACTTTTTTAAAAACTACTGCGGCGCGTCAGCGACAGATTTCCAATCTTGATGAATATCTTTGATACATAGAGTGTTTCATAGATTCTAAACCTCGACGAAAATTTATTGATATAGAGACATGAAATGATTTCTAACTGAATACATCTATATTGGTTTAATAGTCATGTAAGTTCACAAAATATTGACTTTTACTTCATGCATTTTAGTTCTTTGTAGACAATAGCTGAGGATAGAAAATCTTATATCCAAAGTTTTTTCTGAACATATCTAGATTTTTCAAAAACAATCGATTAACTTTTCATTAGCAATTTGTTTATGAAGAATTAATTATTAATTAATAAATTAAAATTGATTTTTTTTGTTCCATAGACAATCCTATGTGGCAATTACTCCCATCAATATCATTTAATTTATCTTCAACAAAATCTACACTTGGTATGTTATCGAATTTCTTTTTTTCTTTTTCATTTGTGTTAATTGAATGAATGAAAGCTTTTTTTTTTATTACATCATTTTGTTTTGTTCTATTTTTAGAAATCAATCCATTACGTTCAGTATCACGTGAAAATATTTTACAACCAAATTGGTTATTAGTTGGTATTGGATTTGGTAGTTTATTATTTAATCTTTAATGGATATTTGGTGATGTATCAGTTGTTAGTCGATGGGCTTCGAATGATTTTCCAAATCAACCACTCGATCCAATACCTTATGGGTAAAGGACAAGATATTTGTTATTTTCTAACTAAAAAGGAGATGATCTGTTTTTTTCGTTTTGAAGTCTTCTCATATGGTTTGGTTTATTTTCTGGTATTGTAATAATCAATCGTCTTAGTATAGTAACAAATCGATGGTGGGTATCAGTAGGTTTTCTTGGTTCTGGTTTGTTATATTTCAGTCGTGGAAATGTTTCATTTATGGGTAAATGAAAACATTTTATTTTATGTATTTGATTAGTTTTTTTTTTGAATTTTTTCAAAAAAGGTGGTTTTGCTCTAAGTATATTTATTGAATCAATACTTCCATTATTATTTGATAAAATAGCTCGTGGTCTTTCAGCACATATTGTTTTTATTGCTACTTTTGCATATATTATTCAAGTTATTTATGCTGTTTAGACAAGTGCTTAGAATTTTGTTCCGTTTGGTTGAACATAAACACGAGAAACATTTCATATTTTAGTATTCTTTAATTTTCTTGGTATTTATTTTGGAGTTTATACTGCTCGTAAGAAAATTTCAACGAATATTTTATTGTTATAAATAAATATAAACTATGTATTTAGAACATAATTTAGGAACGTTATATACGTGCTCGTATCTCGTCAATAAAGTTATCAAATCGTCAAATTTGGTCAGGTGAGAATTAGTGACGTAATTCAACCGTAGGTGTGGAGAGGGAGGGAGCTCACAATCAAGGTCTCTCAACTGATAAAATGCTTTTGAGTCAAGACTACGTGCATTATATAGAATAAAATGAACTTTGAATACTCTGAAAGTAGTTCAGGCCATAGATTATTGTTGCGGACATACTGGAGATTTATCGTAGTTTTTAAATCAATGCCATGGTACCTCTCAGGACTCTGTTGTTGCCTTTTAAATACCATTCTATTGGAACGTAGATGACATTGTAATCCAAATACACTTCGGCAGAGATTTAAATTGTTTATTTATATCATAGTTTATAAATAATGACAATAAAGACCTTTTAAATAAATAGAATCACATGACATAATGATGAGAGTGAGAGTGTTGATGAGGGCGAAGCCTCTGTTCTATCTACAGCTCGCACTCATACCCACATCCTATTACCATCAAGCGTTGTCCTTGTTCTACTGAAAGAAGATTTTTATAGTAGAAGACATTTTTTCGGAGGACCATTTCTACCGAGAACATTTTTGGAAAGGACGTGTTGTTCTCTACCGTGACAACATCGACATATCTCTCCTCTCTCATGGTTATCGTTATACTTCTCTCTTGGTTGTGTATATAAACGTGTGTTCTCTGTGTGAATAATGTGCGAAAGTCGAATGAAGTATAATTCTATTCGCGGTAGTACTTCTTCTATGAAAAATTGATGTTAGAGTTTCGAGTAGAAACGTTTGTATAGAGACGGTCTTTAATGAGAATAGTTTCTTATGAACGTTTTACATCTTGTTGCTGTTGTTTCTATCGTTAACCTTGGAAAGCTTTTTGTTGGTGGGTCTGGCTACACTCACAACGTCGTTTTTCGTTTTCTGCTACATAAATACTTATTCTTTTCCGACTAATCTCTTTTCTAATCGTTAGCCTGCTAACAATGTAAAAAGATCCTATTAACTTTGATAAGTATCAGAGAAAAAATTCAATGAGGGATCTATATGAAACAATTCAATCGTCATATTGATTTTATTGTATTTTGTTCGTTATAGAATATAAAAAAGAAATTTCACTCGTTTTTAATGAGTAGATTAATATCATCATGCATATGAAGAGATTTACTCATCTATGCTCTAGTCAGATCTCTAATTTGAGCTTCTTTCATACTATTTTAATATTGTACTGTTATCATAATCTCTTAGAATAATTTCTTTTAATCAGCAACAATAAGCTAAAAGTCTGAATTCTTTTCAGGATGTTTAAAACTGATTTAGATCTACATAATACATATAGTCTCGACTCAAAAATGATTGATCAGCCTGGAAGAGTTTCCTCGTTAGCCCTTTCTAATCTCCGTCTATTTATGCTACTAGTGAGAAGTCAATTGATTGATAAGAGAAAAATATTCTTTTTTATTTTACCATTTGGTATTGCCTTTCTAATTGCATGTATTGATACATTTTCACGTTTTCTTGCTTTACCATCAACATCATTACGCAAAGCAGAAGATGTTCGTTGTGTTTTTTTTTGGCAATAATTTTTATCTGTAAATTTTTGTTTTTGTTAATTAGCCAACGTTATCTTACTGCTGCTGTTTGGACAGTTGATTTTGGTTATGATAATAATGCTCGTCCAAGTCTTGATCGTCTTGCATCCGTACTTGATGATACGAGTTAGTCAAAATTCTATTATTTGAATAATTATTTTTTTTGACTATCAACTTAGATGCAGATGTTATTGATCTTCTTGAAAGAGATACAGCAAAAACATTTTTTCGAAATAATGATTTAACATCTTATTTAGAAGAAAGATAACATATGTTTACAGATTTTGGTCCATCAAGAAAAGATCATACTTGAGGGGTTAAATAAATAAATAGAAATAAACAAAATAATTTTGTATCTTTCTTTTTTTCAGATCTTTTATTCTTTGAAAATATCGAATTGTTCGATCAGTACATTATTTATTACCATCACCAGAAGGTAAATATTTGAAAATATAAAGATAAATATATCTAGAAAATAATATTAGACGAACTTCCTCCGCCTATTCGCGCAACAATTCAAAGAGCAAGGAAATTAATTTATATAATTATTCTTCATATGGGTTATGATCGAGATGATTTAGATAGAAAATTACAAGCTGAAACATGACGAGATATTATGACAAAATAGGTTTGATATTTTATTCTTTTTTAGAAATAAAAAAGATTTTTATTTTTTATTTTAGTACTAATCCATTAGTTTTTCTTGGTTATTTAACATCGGAACGATTTAGTCGTGATTATCGAAGATTAACTTCAGTTGCAAAAGATATTGATCTAACAGATAAACGATCGATGGTGTCAATATATTTTATATAACAAATTTAATTCAGTAACATTTCATATTTTTTATTTGAATTTTTATTAGGAGGAAGAAATGAATTTTAGTATTGGTTATGCTCGAATTACTCATGGAAGTTTGACTGATAGAGAAATTGAAATGGCTACATTTAAGATTCGAACAAGTGAAAAATTTGATGATCATTCAATTTTAGTTACTGATCCATCAGTTGTTACTGAACAATCAGTTCTTTTTAATTCAAACTAGAATTTATCATACGAAATATATTAACTTTTTCTTTTTTTAATAATCGTTTTATTTTTCACAGAAACTTTTCGATCATTCTAGAGGGGACATGATTATTTTAATACTCATCGTTTTCATATCGATACACCAGTACCTTTTTTTTCTGTATTTTAGTTTAATAAAATTTTTATTTTTAGAAATATTTTCTTGCACGTCAACATCAAACTAATTAATGTCGATTAAAATAAAAAGTTTTTTCAACAAATTGACTGTGATTAAAGTGCTAATATTTCTCGTTTTTTTCTCTCCTTGAATTAAAATTGTGTATTTCGCTATCTATTTAAAAGATTCGTATAAAACTTTTTCTATGATTAATCTTACTTCGTTCTTTTGTTTTTTTTTTGCCTTAATAAAAAAAACGAATCTTTTGATCAATAAAATATTTTTCTTTTAATATATTATTCTCAACAATGACAACCTTTTATTGATTTTATTCACAACATAATTCAACCGTTACAAAACACAGAAGTTATTCTAACCATTAGCAGCCTTACCAAACCACCTGATTTTCTTACTTTTCTCCTCATAGAAAATCTTCGAAATTCAGGAACTGATTTTTATGGTTTTCTCCTGTTTTCAGATTTTTTTTTTGCATGACGATTAGAAATACGTTGACCCAATAGAGACTTGAAA